TGTTCACAACCAGTGAATAAATTTGCTGCTACTGCTGGCACTTTTTGACCTTTCCCTCCCCTTCAGCGTAGGTGACCATCTCCACCCCAGCAGCCTGCCTGACAAGGCACCTGTCTTGTCCTTCTTAATTGGGACAATATGTGAAAACTGCTCAGACTCTGTCTGGCAAAGCACAGCTGATATGGAATGGTAAGTGCCTTCACTCACTATCCTCTTGTCTAGATCTTGTCAGTGCCTTCCTTATTTTGAATCAGAATATTCCCATTCCCAGACCCAAGCTTCTTAGCTATTCCCAGCCTTACTGCTACAGGGAGTAAAAGAACACCCACATCCTGGGTTATTTTGGAGAAAGAAAAAAACTCTATTCTCTCCACTCTCATATTAATTTCTCCAAGCCCTGCCTTCGTGTCTCCAAGACACCTGTCTTGGTGTCTGAAATTACTGTACTGAAGAAGACTCCTTATTTTCCCCCTTGAAGTTGCTTATTAAAAGGCAAATGGTTCTGGTAAGTGTAGCATTATCAGTGCACAACCCCTGATCTGCAGTGAGGGGTACAGACAATAATGCCCAGTGGGTATGAGGCCCAGACTAGAAGCACTAGCCAGGTATTCAGATGAAGTGAATTTCACAAAAAAAGGGACAGGGTCTCGGGACAGAGAAGACAGTTAAATAAAGACAAATTTACAACTTTGCCAATGGGCGTCTTTTGATTTAGTTGACAATTGTGCAAGCACCTTTAACTACAAGCACCTTCTCAACTGGGGCTTCTCACTCTTGGCTGTGTTTTTTGTTCTAAATGGGCGCAGTGTCTGTAGTAACAGCACATATATACTCAGGGAACAATAATTCACTGCAGTCTTCCCGCACTCACTAATGGGTGACTGTTCTAAACAATGGTGAAATGACTGTTCTTGGACACAGCTTTAAGGATACCCATTCTTACCTCAGCACCAGTGTCGTGTCTGACTCTACCTGAAGTGCAACTTAAACTCTGAGGCTCAGTTGACCCCCACCTATTCACCTCATTTGTCAAATACTTTAAGAAACACCGCTGATACTCTCTGAACTCATTATTATAATTATCTCTCCAGTCCATGGAAGTTCCTTTTTTGACTCATCAAGTACTTTCTTGATTTAAAAATAAAATTCCAACTCATAGTTAAAGGGAGGTTTTTCTCTGTTTTTCAAATTTTCTACATTTTACTTTTACATTTGAAAACAGAAACGAGTAAAATTGACAACTGTTTTAATTTGGAAAGAACATTAGCATCGCCCAATCAAATCCACTGTTTCAGAGTTTAGTTCACTAGATACAGAGAAATTATTATAAACTATGAAAAGAGTTAACTGAAAGGCTGAGATAGGAGGATCACAAGTTTGAGCCCAGTACAGAAAATTGAGCAAGACCCTGCCTCAAAACACAAAATGAAAGAAGGCTGAGGATATAGTTCAGTGCAAAGGCCCTAGTTCAATCCCCACCCCAACCCCTACATACACAAGGATAGTTTAAAAAGGGGCGGGCCTTGAACCCTGAAAGTTTTAGGGCTTAGTAAAATGGCTTCTTAGCAGAAAACAATGAGATCTGTAAAATATTTACAACAGTAGTCATTTTTAAAAGACTATTATTTCTATTATTTTTCAAAATTCTAAATATCATTAATTGCAATTTGAAGTTTTAAATTAAAACTTTAATAAGCACTGAATATAAGCATTTAGAGGAACTATTGCCTTTATTTTAAAGTAATAAATTGCAAATCTTTTGAAATAACTAATCACAGGTTTTTATTCCTCTTTGCTTTAAATTTTAATTAAGGAAACAACTGTCTAATCATTCTAATAACTCCCAATAAAATTTAAATACAACATATAATATTTCTAATGTAACAATTCACAATGATTATAAAACTACAGAATTATAGTTGGAAGGAATATGAACAATGATATACTAATGAATTTTAACAGTTTTGGGGGTAGAGGTCCCTGATTTGCAGCATTTTCCAATTTCCAGGGTGCAAATACTTTTTCTGACTTCAAGTTACTAATACCAGGTCTCCAATGACAGAGACATAGGTGCAATCAACTGCCTCTCACAAAACTGCCCAAGTTCAGTCCAACATATCAGTGGATATGAGAAACCAAATAGTGTAACCTCTTCATAGCTGAAGCCTTTCCACAGAAGTATTTCTGTCTTTATAATCTACTGTCTCCTGAAGACATAAGGACATAACTGTACAGTGTGTTTATATACTTACCTACTCAACCCTCTATTAATAACAGTTCTCATTCTTTTTTGGATATTAGGTAACAGGAAACACATCATGACCTCATAACCCAAACAGTGTACACATATGCACAGCTGTATGTCCACATGCATAAGCAGATAAAACTAAAACGAGCCTTACAAAATAAAACACTCTTACTACATACAAGATATCAAAATCTTCTAATTTTTAAATTATGATCTTGATCCACAAAACTGAATTCATATCAACTGATTTGCATAGTAACCCAGAATTTGAAAAACTGTGCTATAATCGACTGTAAACGCACTGAAGGGAAAATTATACATCATGTCTCTATCTGTTCCTATATCTGGCAGTAATTATTGGTCCAAGGAGGTCAAGTAACTTCTCCAAAGATGTAACTGCTATAGTTTATATACAATCCCTCCAGGTAAGTAATAATTCATGCCACAGAACTGGGATATTTATGGCTAAAAGCTAAAGGACCTCCCAAGGCAGCCACTCCTTTATCGGAAAGTCACAAAGCATATTTTGTAAAACTCTACCTGCCCCATCATTGATGAAAGTTTAGCCCTTCATCCAAGGAGGCCATGCATCCTCTTTTGTCTAGATTACTGCGTGTTCATTGCTCTACTGTTAATAATATGCATCCTCCACAGTGTTGAAAAGAAACTTGCCATTTTTATAAAACATCTTCAATACTTTACAGAGAAAAACCATATAAAACTGATTAATATTAAACATATTATATGGAATAAACAAACCCTGTATACAGTATACATTAATATCAGATTTCTAATAAAAGCCAGAGACTTAGTTGGAGAAAATACTCACTCGGGAAAATAAAATCTGAGTCCATGGCCTTTTCTATTCAGTGTGCTTGTACAGCACATGCTTTTTTATAGGTGCTATGAAATGTACACTATAGTTTCAGGACAATTCAGATAAGCATCTTCACTAAAAATACACAACACCATTAATCATCTCAGTGACAGTGCTCCAATTTAACATGTTGGGGATTTCTTCCCCTTCTTCATCATTTATTTGCCAATATTTCCTTGTTATGAATATCCCCCTAGTGACTTTTCCTGGCAGTCACAGCTGTGCTGCCTACTGTGTCTACCTTGACTACAAATAACACCAATTCCTTTTAAAAAGCTAACTCTTGAGATTATTTCTGCTAGAAAAGCCTTACGATGAACCAAACTCCTACATTAGTAGCTGCAGTCAAGCTCCTTACTCTAAAGCTGACCGAACTCAGGCATTAAGCAGTCATTTCATATCTATGAAACTGGCTTACCTACGATGACCAACACTTAATTGCTGATCACCAATTATCTGAACAGTCAACAATCAACTGCTGCTTTAATACCAGTCCATAAAGACCCTCTTCCTATACAACAAAAGGCTTATATGAAGTACCCATGAATCACACCAAATTACAGAAACCTGACCACCAATAGCAAAATCTATGACTCACACATAATAATCAGAAATAATTCTGCATTATAATCACACCAATTGTGATAAAGAGAAGACTATATTCTAGGTAATGGAATATCAACACATAAACCTAGAGGTAAATACACAGACAAGACACAATGATATAATGATCAACTAAACCATGCCAAGTAGGAAACCTGCCCGGTTTCATCTAGGGTCCATTTCAGAGTGGAGCTTCACAACCATCAGCACTTCTTTATCAATTTAAAAGTGGAAACCATGAAAAAAAAAAATTGTTCTAGCCCCTGTTGGAGGAATAATCAAAGTAGAACTCACTCACCAGCTTGTATTCAAAAAGAATTTTTAAACGGCAAAAAGGCACTTTTTTTTCCCCCCAAAATCAACATTATACTGCAAAACTAGAGTATGAAGACCAAAATACACCGAAGTATATTTGCAAGGTATAACAAGAAAGAGTGCTGTGGAATTATGCCTACATTCCTTTATATTTTCTATAAGAGAATTTAAATGTTAAAGTCACTTTAAACAATGTTCCATAACTTTTCTGTAAGATTCCAATTGGCTCAATGTTTAAAAGGAAGAAAAAAAAAACTTCCTTCATCGCACAAGCAATAGAAGTCAAGCCCCAATATATTAAAATGCCATTTCCTTCCCAGAACTGTGTTTACTTCAGCGATAGTAACAACACCTCGTTACCAAAAGTGCACATTCTGTTAAGTAACGGACAAAGCAAATGGCAGCAAAGACAGAGGACTCAACTTCAATTTTACTGTCCTTTAAGGTACATAGTAATTAGCTGCAAAGCTCCGAAATCTTAGCTAGCATGTTAAGTCTGCTACATGACAGTATAATTTGACTTCTTAAAGGATTATGCAAATTACGGCTCATCATTCCATTACAGGATTGAAAAAAAGTGACAGCTAATTTATACATAACACACCTTTCAAATCCCTAAGATGCGTGGCACCTGTGCAATGTATTTTGCTGAGATTTTCTTGCATATAAGTACTTGTTTATTGCAATATAAAGAAGCTTACCTAAGAGCTTTAATACAGTCATTTAAAAAACCCTTTTAGAGCATAATTTCAAAAGAATAAACATTTTTTTGGTCTTGATTTCAGCAGTAAATTTTTTTTTTCATTTTGGTAGTTTTCACTTGGTTTGGTTTGGATTTTGTTTCCCCACTAAATTAGATAAAAATAAGGTTTCAATACAAGGATATTTTTGAATAGCTGGCAACCACAAGCACTGATGCACGAGCCAGAAGGAAGACTCACAAAGATTTCAACATAC